GTGTGTGTGTGTGTGTGTGTGAGAGAGAGTATGTGAGTGAGTGTGTGTGTGAGTCGTACTGGAGTGGAAGGGGCTGGAGGGTGGCTGTGGAGAGTCGAAGATGCTGCAGATCTCGGTGGAGCTGGATGCAGTGGAGGCTGGTGGAGGTGTCAGCGGTGTGCAGGGCGAGTTGGGCGCTGAAGCGATGCTGCTCTCCGTCTCGCTGTCTGGGATGCGGCTGTAGCTGATCTTCCGGGGCTCGTTCTGCAGCGGCGTCAGGTGCCGCATGGTTCCCGGGCGGACGGTGGACGGGCGAACCCCCGGAGACTTCAGAGGACAGCTGTACTTCTTCGGCTGTGAGAGGAAACCAAAATGAGAAAAAAATTAGACTATCTATCTATCTATGGCATATATATGTACTTATCAGTTAGTGACCAACATTTCCCTAAAACTCTGTCATCTTAATTTAAAATATCAATATAATATAATTTTTTTTAACAACATTTAAAATCCAGGATTCTCATGATCTTGGAAAACCTTGATATATACACATTTTTTAATTGTGATTTCTTGACATGGAAGAGTCACTGAAATTAATAAAACCTTGCATTTTATTAAAAAAAAATTATAAATAAGTTATATAAAAATTATAAATAATTTATTAATAATTTATAAATTATAAAAATGAATATATTTTTTCTAGTTATATCAGGCGCTAAAACATTTATTAGGTAGAAATGACTATATGTGAGTTTTAAAAAAATATGTAAAAATTCTAGTAATCATGAACAACTAGAAAAATCATGTTAATTCATTGGTAATAAAAAGTTTAACTCCTGAAGAACATTCATTTAAAATTTCTGGAATTATGGAATTTAATTACCATTTTTTTCTATTTATTTTAAGAAACTATATTGTAATATTTTAAATATTTAAATTATGTAAAAATAATAATAAATGTAAATAACACTAATGTAAAAAATATCAATGTAAAAATTATTATTATTTAATAGTTTTAATTTTAATAAGTAGTTAAAATAATTATTTTTAAATATAACTTGCCGTGTCTCTTCAGGAAGTCTGGATTTCCCTCCTCAGTTTTCAGAATGTTTGTTAAATAAATCCCTAAAACGAGCAGATCGCAATCAAACACACAGTCAGTGCCATCAGAAACCAAAGGAAGCCCGTTTCCAAAATTAAAAAGATAATTGCAACTTTTTATCTCGTTGTTCAGTCTTTGTTTCTCGCAAATCTGAGTTTATATCTCACAATTAGGACTTTTCTTCAAACTGCCAGTTTATATCTTGCAATTCTTTTTTTTACTCGTCAGAACTGTGAGAAAGTCTGAATTGTAAGATAAAAAGTCACAAGTACTTTTTTATTCCAAGCTGGAAACAAACAAAACTGCAAACTTAGAATAAAAGTCAGAATTGAGAGATTTAAAAAAATATTTGAGAATAAAAGTCAGAATTGAGAGATTTAAACAATTTTTAGATAAAAATTTGAATTTTGAGAATTAAAGTCAGAATTGAGAGATTTAAACACAATTTTGAGAATAAAAGTCAGAATTGAGAGATTTAAACAATTTTGAGAATAAAAGTCAGAATTGAGAGATTTAAACACAATTTTTAGATAAAAATTAGGAATTTTGAGAATAAAAATCAGAATTGAGAGATTTAAACACAATTTTGAGAATAAAAGTCAGAATTGAGAGATTTAAACAATTTTGAGAATTAAAGTCAGAATTGAGAGATTTAAACACAATTTTGAGAATAAAAGTCAGAATTGAGAGATTTAAACAATTTTGAGAATTAAAGTCAGAATTGAGAGATTTAAACACAATTTTTAGATAAAAATTAGGAATTTTGAGAATAAAAGTCAGAATTGAGAGATTTAAACACAATTTTGAGAATAAAAGTCAGAATTGAGAGATTTAAACAATTTTTAGATAAAAATTTGGAATTTTGAGAATTAAAGTCAGAATTGCGAAATATCAAACTTAGAATTGCAAGATATAAATTCTCAATTTTGAGGAAAAGTCATAATTGCTATATATAAATAGAATTGAGAGATTTAAACTTAGTCAAGTCACCTTTATTTATATAGCGCTTTATAGTGCTAATAATTGCAAGACATAAATTCGCAATTATGAAAAAAAGTCTAAATTGCGAAATGTAAACTCAGAATTCTGAGAGCAAAAACAAGTCAGAATTACGAGATAAAAACTCAGAAATTTTCCCTTGTAATTTTCTACAGAAAGCACATGTGCAAAACAGTGTAAGAAGAAGGACGTACCAAAGAAGGGCACACAGGGGGGGTTGATGGACCTGAGTTTAGCCAGATATTTTTTATAATGATCTTCACTGAGTTCATGAGCCTCCTCCAGAATCTTCCTCTGTCTGCTCGGGATTTGCTGAAATACAATAGTCATACACACTGAACTGTAAAAGCTCTAGTACTAGTGAAGAGCAACTAATCCAACAGTGCTAATTAAAGCTCATGTAAACGCGCTCACCTCGAAGGTGTGGTCGAGTCTATAGACGGGCGACGAGTTCATGGCGCTCACCACCTCCAGAACGCCATTGAAGTTATTGAGCTCCTGAAAGACCTGCAGGATCTCGATGATGCGCGATATGATGGACACGCGCTCCTCCACGTTCTCCGTTTCTACGATGCACCTGAGAAACACGAGAAACCGTCAGAATCCCACACACATGTGAGTGATGTGGCTCTGAATTAAACACACGAGAGCGTACTTCTCGAACCACAGCGTGAGGTTGGTGGTGTGGCGGATCATTCGCAGCAGGTTCGGGGAGTTGATCTCTTTGTCTTCTTTAGTCCAAACGCTGCCCACCAGCTCTGACGGCTGAACCGCCCTACAGAAGGTCAAAGTTCACAGTTACATTCATGTTTCTGTGTTAAACTGCTAAATATGAACAGAAAAACACAGCAGTTCCACCTCAAAATGATGATTAAGACACTTTATAATGCAAATAATAAATATTCATTACACACTAGGAGAGCAGGGTGTAGATATCATTAATCACAGTAAATGAAGACAATTGTTTTCTGTTACAAGTTTCCCTGAACGCTATGTTTAAATGTGCAATAATGTGCTATAAATTGCATAGATTTTCAGAAAATAAATCTGAACATTGGATAAAGCCAGCTCCACCCACTTCCTCATGGCCTTACCTGCAGACAGGTGACAGGACTGATGTTAGAGACAGGACTGAGCTGAGATCAGATTTATGCAGAAGAGTTCTTGTTAACCAGCACGAAAACTGACAGGTTATTTTTTCTTGTCAAGTTTTATATTTGTGTTCTTTTGAAAGCCCCGCCCACAGTGAAATCCCATTGGCTCAAAATCCAGTGCATCATTGTCACTTTCAGAAATAATGATGGACAGAAAAATTATGGGAATTACATTGGAATTCGGTTACATCATGGCTGGTCAGGACACTATGACATTTGTTTTATTTTTCCCCAAATCTCATGGTTTCTGGATTCCATTTAATGGTGTGCATTTCTAATCAATTAAATTCATAAAAACGTATTCAAACTTCAACAATAATAGTTTATTATACCCCCCCCCCCCCTCAATTCTATTTTCTGTTTGAATTTTTCTGGATGCTATTTTTATGGTTTAACTCAATTTTAATAATCAAAAAGGATGTCTAATTAATTGAATTCATTATTTAAACATTAACAGTTCCCTATAACAGTTCCCTGTGTGTGTGTGTGCGTGCGTGTGTGTGCGTGTCAGTTAGAGTGAGTGAGTGCGTGAGTGAGTGTGCGAGTGAGAGTGCGAGTGATTGAGTGCATGAGTGTGAGTGTGCAAGTGTGAGTCAGTATGCATGTGAGAGTGCGTGAATGAGTGACTGCGTGAGTGTGCGAGTGTGTGTGTGTGTGTGTGTGTGAGTGCGTGTGTGTGAGTAAGTGTGCAAGTGAGAGTGAGAGTGTGAGTGCAACTGAGTGAGTGAGTGTGCAAGTGAGAGTGAGTGAGCGAGTTAGAGTGTGTGTGTCAGTGTGAGTGCGCGAGTGTGAGTCAGTGTGTGTGAGAGTGAGCGACTGTGAGAGAGTGTGTGCATGGGTGTGAGTGAGTGCAAGTGAGAGTACGAGTGATTGAGTGCATGAGTGTGAGTGTGCAAGTGTGAGTCAGTGTGCGTGTGAGTGCGTGAATGAGTGACTGAGTGAGTGTGCAAGTGAGAGTGAGAGTGCAAGTGATTGAGTGCGTGAGTGAGTGTGCGAGTGTGAGTCAGTGTGCGTGTGAGTGCACGAGTGAGCAACTGTGAATGAGTGTGTGAGTGAGCGACTGTGATTCAGTGTGTGTGTGTATGTGAGAGTGTGAGTGAGCGAATGTGAGTGTGTGTGCATGGGTGTGAGTGAGTGTGCAAGTGAGAGTGTGAATGATTGAGTGTGTGAGTTAGTGAGTGAGTGAGTGTGAGTCAGTGTGCGTGTGAGTGTGTGAGTGAGCGACTGAGTGAGTGTGTGTGTGTGAGTGTGTGAGTGCGTGGGTGTGAGTGAGTGTGCAAGTGAGATAGAGTGTGTGAGTGTGATTGTGAGTGCATGGGTGTGAGTGTGCAAGTGAGAGTGCAAGTGATTGAGAGTGTGAGTGAGTGAGTGTGAATCAGTGTGCATGTGAGTGCATAAGTGAGCGACTGAGTGAGTGTGCAAGTGAGAGTGAGAGTGCGAGTGATTGAGAGTGTGAGTCAGTGTGCGTGTGAGAGTGCATGAATGAGCGACTGTGAGTGAGTGAGAGTGCGTGGGTGTGAGTGAGTGTGCAAGTGAGAGAGAGTGCGATTGTGTTAAGAGTGCGTGTATGCGTCAGTGTGAGTGCGTTTGAGTGTACAAATGTGAGTGAGTGCAAGTGTGTATGCATGTGAGTAAGTGCGAGGGAATGTGCATTAGTGTGCGAGTTTGAGTCAGTGTGCATGTGAGTTAGCGAGTGTAAGTCAGTTTGAGTGTGCAAGTGAGAGTGAGAGTGAGTGTGCGAGTGTGAGAGAGTGCAAGTGAGTTAGAGGGTGCGTGTGCTGAGTGTGAGTTAGTGTGTGCGAGTGAGTGAGTATGCGAGTTTGAGTCAGTGTGTGCATGAGTGAGTGAGTGTGTGTGTGTGTGTGTGTGTGTGCGCGTGAGTGAGTGAGTATGAGTGTGGGTGTGAGTGTGAGCGTGAGTGTGCGTGTGTGTGTACCTGAGCTGTACAGGCTGAACAAACTCTTTGCGGAAGCGTTTGAGTTCTGCGCTCAGCGGCTGGTCTCCGTTCTCCATGGCCATCTGATCCGCTTCTATGGGTTTAGGTTCGGGAATATCAAACCTGGATCGCAAACACACAGACCGCTGTATGGAGAGACGTTTCCGTGGATACGACAATAACTTCATAGCATTATAAAAGATATCATCATGACTATAAAAAACTTTTAAATACTGTAAACATGGGTGAGCTGTTTTTTTAATTTAAATCAGTGTATTACAACCATTTTTAATAAAGAAAAAAACTATACATTTTAGTGAAAACAGTAAACACACTATAAACTATTTATGCACTATTGCAGGTGTTTGCAGTGTTGATTGTGAGAATGTGAGCATCTGACCTCTCCATGAGCAGATCCAGCAGCTCCTGAGGTTTACAGAATGATCGGTACGTGGTCAAAAACGTCCTGACGAAATTGGGATCTGAAAAAAAAGATGAGAATATATATATATATATAAGTATAAGTAAGTCCAGAGACCAGGGTTATTATAGTGAACTAAAACTAAAACTTGTTACTTGAAATAAAATAAATGGCAATTGAAGTAAAACTAAATATAAAAAACTTAAATTAAAATGAATAAAAACTATAAAGACATATATAAAAACAACAAAAAATAATAAAAATGTCAACAACAAAAAAATTAACATGAAAGCAGAAAATATATTCATATTCAAAACATTAACAAAAACTATAATATTATCTAAACAACAGTGGATCATAACTGTACTATGGTGATGGAGTAATGAGAATTTTGGTGCTTAAATGTGATGTAAATGTAAATTAAGTCTATTTTAGGACCATTAAGATTTTTTTCATGATGAAAATATAATTTATCTTAATGTTCCTGTACATTCAGACATAAAGCAGTTTTCAGATGGATTTCATTATCAATCGCTCATTATTCAGTGTTTTCATGCAGCGAGTCATCTGAACTGATCTCAGGCCTGTGTGCGTGTTAGTGCGTGTGTGTGTGTGTGTGTGTGAGAGAGTCCATACAGAGCTGAGCATGATGGATCTGACCGACACGAACAATAGAAGCTCAACTCTAAACAATCAGACTGGAATTATTCTAGCCAGGAAACAGACACTCGGCTCTGATGCACAAGACACACACACACACACACGCACAAGACACACACACACACACACACGCACAAGACACACACACACACACACGCACAAGACACACACACACACACACGCACTAACACACACACACACACACGCACTAACACACACACTTAAAATAGATCTAGGACAGGCTGGATTCTGATTCTAGAGTCTGGACCGAGAGAATGCTCACACACACACACACACTCACACACGCACACTCACTCATTAACGTGAGGGTCACTCACTAACGATCATTAACCCTCATCCACACCCTAAACGATCCGCAGCGCTGTGTGTGACAAAGGACACACCTTTTCCCTTCACACACACAGTTTTCCTCCGAACGTCTGTTTCCTGTGCCTTATTAGAAACCGCTGGCTGCGGGAGTGTCCCGTGGAAAGCGGCTCTATATTTACCCCGACCCTCTGCGGGAGGAAGTGTACTCGGGTGAGCGGAGCAAGAAAACACCCATCAGAGGAACGCAGAGTGACCCGCTCACAGACAGCAGGACATCACTCTCACCCAAACACCAGCATATCACACTCCACTCAGTAGATATTATATGATCATCAAAAAAGAATTGTAACTGTTCTTAAATAAGTTTCATTTACTAAAAATAATTAAATAAATTACAATTTATATGATTGATTTATTATGTATCTATTAATACATTATATATATATTTACACAGAATAAGTGAAAAAATCTATGTAATCTATGAATTATTAAATCATACATATGTATATATATATATATATATATGTGAGTGTGTATAAAGACCCGCTGGTCTATTAATAGACTCATTATCATTCATTACTGTTCTGAGATTATTAGTTCTGCCTTTATGAGCTGGAGTGATTTGGGTCGAGCTGATCAGCTGTTTAAGTTTATCCCTAACTACACACACACACACACACTCACATTCACACACTCACACTCACTCACACTCACACTCACACTCTCTC